AATCTATAATACCTTGGCTCATCATCATTGCCCAAAGCCCATGGTTGACTTTAGGGTTCATACTCGGTATTGCACAGTTTATGGGTGTGGACAAATGGATGACTCGTATTCACCGTTAGATCTAGAAGTCCAGGACCAGCAATTGGTGTAATGACTATGTCGCTGGACTCCCACATAGTCAACCGCAGTTCGAATCCCGGACCTGGTGGCTCAACCTCTCGCCAGGTATGTATGTGTGCGTGTCCAAGATCCCGAGAGGAGAATGAAGGAGAAGGGATTGCGGTGTGGCCATCCCCCCTGGGGGGTGATTTCTCGCTTTCTGTCTCTCTGTCTCTGTCTGTCTGGCGAGCGCACGTGCCCTATAGCAAAAACCTCTCCAGAAAATAATAAATTATTTATTAGACCTAAAAGTCCTCGGTGCTCTGCATATCCATTTCTCTTTCTCGCCACCTTTTGTTTTTAAAGAATTATTTTATTTACCTTTATTTATTTATTTACATTTTTAAAGTTGACCAGAGAAGGACAGAGAGAGAGAGAGAGAGAAAGTGAGAAAGCAAGGTTCAGGTCCAGGACTTGAACCACGGTTGATTATGTGGGAGTCCCGTGCCCCTAACCACCATGCCACCTGCCAGCCTCTCCCCCCACTTTTTTACTTTTTAATTGTAAATTTGAAATAATTCTAGATACAGGAACGTGCAGAGATAATACAGGGAGTTGCTGTGAACCTTCATACAACTTCCCCTAATGTTGACATCTTACAAAACCAGGGACATTTGTTGAACTAAGAAATTAACATTAGGACATGAGTACTAACTGAATTCTAGACTACAGTCGTCCCCTCTTATTGAAAGTTTCACTTCCTACAGTTTCAGTTACCCATAGTCAACAGAGGTCTTCAGAGAGAGAGAGGGAGAGAGGGAGGGAGCGTCTATTGATATACCTTCATCATAGTATGTTGTTACAGTTGTCCTATTACTTATTACTGTTCATCTCTCACTGTGCCTAATTTAGAAGTTAAACTTTATGAGGGTATATATGCAGAGGAGAAACATGGCCTCCACAGGGTTGAGACTCTCTGTGGTCTCAGGCACCCACTGGACGCTCGGAGCGTAGCTAGTGTGGACAGGAGGAGACACCTACATTTGGGTTTCATCAGTTTTCTGCTACGGATCCAATCCGGGATTCCACGCTGCAATTTATTTGTCTTTGCTCTGTGTGAATTTTCTAGTTATGTGTCTCCACAGGCAGGTTGGTGAGGGGGAAAGGCTTAACACCCTTTGAAGAATAGCTTAGGGCTCCAAATCAGTTACTAATGAGCGTCTCCTTCTAGCTCGGTGTGAGGCATGTTACCACAGGCAGCTGTCTGCCATGTCTGCGTGCACTCATGTTTTCTGTGTACTCCTCTCTTAGCCTCTGAAATGCTCTTTTCTCAGGAGAGATCACTGAGGAGACCACACGGGTATTCCTCGGGGACTGAGGCTTCATACCATGGGTTACTGCCAGCATATCTTCAGGAGAAGTGACTGCTCCAGCACAGGCCTCCTCCCAGCCGCTCAGCATGTGCCTGGTGGTGTTGGCGTGGTCCGTGTCCTCGGGTGTGTTTGGAGATGCCACCTGTGCCGACTGGCTCTGAGAGACACTTGGCATCAAACCAGAAGTCTCGTTGGGGTGTGTTTTACTCCACTGCTTTTTTGTTAAGCAAATTTTATTGTGTCTATTTAAGGCATACAATGTGATTTTTTTTTTTTTGTTTAGTTTGGTATAGGGTGCATGCGCTCACTGAAGAGACAGAGAGCGAGAAATCACCCTTAGCCACGCCGCAATCCCTTCTCTCCCTTCTCCTCTCAGAATCCTGGCCATGCACACACACGCACCCAGGGTGTTTTAAGTCACCAGGTCCAGGACTCGAACACGCACCCCGGGTGTTTTAAGTTACCAGGTCCAGGACTCGAACCGTGGTTGACTACGTGGAAGTCCAGTGACTTAGCCATTATGCCATCTGTTGGTCCCACAACATGAAGTTTTAAGAATCACATGTGTAGTGAAGTGGCTACTGTAGGGAGACGACCAAATGCCCGCATCGTCTCGCGTAGTGACCCATATTCCCTGTAGAGCAGAGCAGCTACAGTCTACTCACTTGGCAAAAACCCCAGCGTGCTACCCTGTTATTAACTATGACCCATGCTGTGCGCTGGGTCCTTCCATGGCTTGTCCCACACGTTCGGTACTTTGTACTCTTCAATTTACGTCTCCCCTTTTCTTCCCTTCCCAACCCGGCCCTGATAACCACTTTCATTCTTTATATATATATGTGTGTGTATACACAAACACACACACACACACACACACACACACACACATATATTTAACCTTTTTTTGGTAAGATTTCACATAGAAGTGAGATCATGCAGTGTTTTGTTTTTTTTGTTTGTTTTTTGTTAGAGATTTTCGCTATAGGGTGCCTGCACTCGCCAGACAGACAGACAGAAAGCGAGAAATCACCCCCCAGGGGGGATGGCCACGCCGCAATCCCTTCTCCTCCATTCTCCTCTCGGGATCTTGGGCACGCACGCACACGC